CTGACAGCCTTCATACGGGTCTCCCCACCTTTCCCCCTTACGCTAACTTGCCACATGATGAACACTTCGAAATCCCGAGGCATAGACAGGCTAAGCTTGTATTGACCCGCTATGTAAGCCCTTTTTGAGGGGGTAGTGGAGGGGTAGTGGAGGAGGGAGGAGGAGGGAGGAGGAGAGGAGGAGGAGTAGCGTGGAGGACGGGCGGTATAAAATTCTAATAACTGAACGCATGTATTAACGCAACACTTAATGTCAAATATACAAATATTGCGAGAGGTGGGAGGAGGGGAAGACAATAGTCGTGGGTAGGTGGAATAATAGAAAAAAGAGGGGAGGGGGGAGTAAGAATGAGACGGGCAGTGGTAAAGGAAGGAGAGAGGAGAGAGAGGGGGAGAGAGGGGGAGAGAGGGGGGAGAGAGAGGGGGAGAGAGAGGGGGAGAGAGAGGGGGAGAGAGAGGGGGAGAGAGAGGGAGAGGGAGAGGGAGAGGGAGAGGAAGAGGGAGAGGAAGAGGGAGGGAGGGAGAGAGAGAGAGGGAGAGGGAGAGGGAGAGGGAGAGGGAGAGAGAGAGAGACAGAGAGAGAGAGAGAGAGAGAGAGAGAGAGAGAGAGAGAGAGAGAGAGAGAGAGAGAGAGAGAGAGAGAGAGAGAGAGAGAGAGAGAGGGGGTGAGGAGAGAGGGATGGAGGGTGAGAGAGAGAGAGAGAGAGAGGGGGTGAGGAGAGAGGGATGGAGGGTGAGAGAGAGAGAGAGAGAGAGAGAGAGAGAGAGAGAGAGAGAGAGAGAGAGAGAGAGAGAGAGAGAGAGAGAGAGAGAGAGAGAGAGAATATATACATACACACACACATATTATATATATATATATATATATATATATATATATATATATATATATATATATATATATATATGAGAGAGAGAGAGAGAGAGAGAGAGAGAGAGAGAGAGAGAGAGAGAGAGAGAGAGAGAGAGAGAGAGAGAGAGAGAGAGAGAGAGAGAGAGAGTAAGTGAGTGAGTGAGTGGAGAGCGAGAGAGAATCCATAATAAATGACATTAATGATGTTACTTTGCCTACCCCCAAAAGTAATGCAATTACAAATAATGCATTGGTGACAATAGGAATACATACACTTTGCTTAAACCTAAGTCATGTAATTAAACCGTCTACGAATCCTTGCACATTTTTGTCTATGGAAAGTTCAAGTAAGTGTTGCACAAATCAAGATACGAGTCAAGCTGAAGCAAGAGACTGCATATAGAACATATTTATGGATACATCCAAACTATAAATTACATAAACATGCATGCACGAGCGCGCGCGCGCGCACATACACACACACACACACACACACACACACACACACACACACACACACACACACACACACACACACACACACACACACACACACACACTATTGCAACAATAACAACGTTTTTTGTGTATGGTGAAACAGCTTCTCGTTTTAACAGTGTCGAAAGGCAGTTTAACTTGATAGGTGAAGTTCAACTTTAATGTGGTAGCTGTTTAGGGAATTTCCCAGACCGATACATGTGCATTTTACTTAAAGCTGACGTGCTAGGAGATGCACAAAAGTTTGCACAGGCGTGATGCAGAACGTGTCCAGATATGAGCTCGTCACGCAATGTCAACAGTGGATTATCATTTTTCTTTTTTTCTGATCGGGAGGGGAGGATAATGATTTCCCTACAACGCGCCTAAATACGAATGGCAATTTCTCATCGGGATGTGAAACGCATAGAGGAATGTAAAGTGTTAATGAATAAGACGTCGGACAAGCAGGGGAGGCCTAACGGCGGCGCCTTCCGAGGGGGGTCAACTTTACACAGCCGCTCGCAAACTCGCAGGAAATTTGGCGAGGCAATTTCAGTATGCACCTGAGTCGTAAAAATTTATCTCTCTGCGTAGAATGAGTCATTGGGGTGCCAATCAACTTTTCCCCTCGTGGCGATTAATCTTCTACATTGCCCATACTGCACCGAAATTTAATAATCGCCAATATTTAGGAAGCGCCAAATACGCTTAGGCGGCAGCGTTGCCAACGACGAACGGCGTTGAGTACAACCCATTCAATTCTTCTTCAACCCCTGAATCCCCTTCCGAAACCTAACCAAAACCCCAGACATTTAAAGGGACTCTCTATAACCCCACAAGAAACCCCCGGAAGCAGCCTAGCAAGCGAGAAATCCTACTCCGAGCAGAGCAGGAGCGGAGGCGGACGGACAGCGTTGCGAGCGGCGGCGCCCGCGGACCAATGGCGGCCGCGTCGTGATATCATGCTGCCAACCTCGTCACATCCGTACCTCCTCGGCCTCGCGTGACCTCCCTCGACCTCCGGGGACGCCCTCGCCCTCCCGCCCCGACGCCATGGACGAGGCCCCGCCTCAACCTCACGCCCATGTCTCCCTCGGGCCCAAAAAGGGAGACGGAAACACTCTAGGGTGGGTTGGGTTGGCAGCTCTGTAACCTCCGTTGAGTGGGAGAGAGAAGAGAGAGAGAGAGAGAGAGAGGAAAAGAGTGAGAGAGGCCTCGAGAGCAAGAGAGGAAGAGGAAGAGCCAGAGAGAGAGAGAGAGCGCGAGCGAGCGAGAGTGATAGAGAGAGAGAGAGACCCACAAACACAGAGGGATACTAACAACACCATCAAAGCCTTGCCAGTGTTGTGTGCTAACGACGGGCCACCACACCTGTGCCACTCTGTCCCCGCCGGACTATGTGCAGGTGGGAGGGTTGACGCTGCCTTCTCTGTCCTTTTTTCGAATTTGCTTAATGGATCAGGTGGATAAAGATGTTGGATTGGGATGAGGGTACAAAGAGGGATTTGTCTCATAAGTAAATGGTGTTAATTGTTATTAATTGTTATTAAATTGAATGTTTATTTGGAGGTAGAAATTTACACAAGTTTAATATAAACTTTGTACTTCTTGTGTTGAGTGCATGGCTCAGTTGTTCTTGTTTCCCTTATTTCGTTTTCTTTTTGTTTTGAGATTGACTGTGATTGTTTAAATTTCTTGTTTTTTTTTAATTTTTAATCTTTGTCCAATTGCTAATGCAATGTTATATCATGTTGCAAACTGTAATATTTGGTACTTTATACATTAGGATATTTATTTTATATATTTGGATACATTGTTATAAAAGGAAAGGGGAAAAGGCAGATATTCAAAATCCCTGAACGAGTGTCGTGAATTTTGGAATTTTGAGTAAATTACTCAAATATATCATGAATTTTCTACATAAGGTTAAAATTAAAATTAAATACTTTAAAATTCATCACAAATACACAAGAGCTCACTTTTTCAATCAAATGAAATGATGCACGGCCAAAAATTCGGATTCGTTCTTAAGCTTAGACAAATACAAAATACTATTCCACTGATAGTTAACAATGGGGTAACATTCATAACTGTACTTGAGTTTCCTGTGTAAGTACTAAGTGCCTTCGATAAATTTCAGTTTAACCAACACGTCATTAGTAATAGACAGTAGAGATAACAATAACAGACATTATCAAGAGACTGGCGAGTATAAGACATTTGAGAAATTGACTTTGTTTTAGTCTGACCAGTACTGGTAGGTTTTCGCACAAAGAAAATGGTAATAATATACTAATATTTATGATGAAAAAGGTGGTTTCTCAAATAACCATTTTCATTCAGATAAAACCAACATGCTAGTCTAAGCTTTGTGCATAATGTGGTGTTCCAAGTAATTAAGATATTATATATCTCTATTTATCTATCTATCTATCTATCTATCTATTATATCTATCTATCTATATATTATATCTGTCTATCTATATATTATAATTATATAAATTATATATACCAATTAAGACATTTGATTGCTATTCTTATTTTCATGTAGGGTAAATAACAAACAAAAAACAAATAAAATAATAATGACAATGACAACAACAACAACAACAACAACAACAATAATGATAATAATAGAATATTAAGACATACTCCTTATCAGGGAGAGTATTTAGATACATATTTATTTGGGTACAACTTACCTGAAATAATGCAAGAGTTTTAATATATATGTATTTTTTAAGGTAGAAGTTATGGGGGAAAAAAGGAAAAACATATACATAAAGAATAAAAAAAAAAAGCTATGCATATAGTTAAGTTTAATTTTATAATCTTTAAAAAATAAATAATGGCCTTTTGTATTGTGTAATGACTTATGATATTATAATTACAATCTAATTAAAAATGAATTTGCTTATAAAATGTATTTCTGGCATTTGACTTTGAAAAAATAGAAAGAAAGAAAGAAAGAAAAAAACTATTATAACACATGTTAAGATTGAGCAAATTTTATAAGTAACCCACAAATAACATTTTCTGTAACTGGTACCCTAGATAATATTTATTAAGAACATAATAGTTTTATGTAGCCCTGGTATGTTTAAAAATGTGCTCAACCCCCTTTACAGAATAATACAGTTTTAAGTACATAATAGTTTTATGTAGCCCTGATATGTTAAAAAATGTGCTCATTATCAATCCCCTTACAGAATAATACATAAAAACAATCCAACAATCACCCCAAAATGATAAAACCTACTTTACTTTGACATTAAAAAAAAAATTCTCTTTCTGCAGGCCATACATCCATCCTTTGAGCAATGGATGAACAGGAATTTGAAGAAATCCTGACCTACCTCTCTAAGAACAAATACCCTGAGAGCATTAAGTCGAAAGACAGTCGGAGCAACTGGCGAAAGAAATGCCGTCCTTTCATATGCTGCAAGGACGAGCTCTACTACAATCACAAGAAGTACGGGGCCTTGTTGGCAGTGAAAGGAGTCAAGGATAAGAACCGGGTAATTGAAAAGTGCCACATACAGGCCGATGGCAAGCACCATGGGATTAATAGAACGTAAGTGTGCTTGTTGTATAGAAATCATAATATTACTATTATTAAATTTCAAAGCAATGAAAAATATGTTTTGCAGAAGTGCTATGACCAATAATGTTGTGATAATTTATCAGTAATGATTATGGAAGAGACTAGAATAGTTCTATTTATTTTGAATGTAAAGTAACCATTACATATACCAATATCACAACTTTTATAAAAAATACAAGCATGTGCATATACATATCAAATTTGCTTCAAATCCTGTACATTAAATATTATGCTTTTTTTACTTTTCTTCTTTGTAGGCTCAAGAAGATAAGCACAAATTACTATTGGAAGACAATAGCAAAAGATGTCCACAATTATGTTAAGATGGTGTGCCAGACCTGCATTGACCAAGCCATACAACAGACCAATGCAGCTAAAAATTCAAATACATCTCAGGAAGAATCTGAAGGAGGAATTCGGGTAAAATCCACACACAAAATAGTGGACAAAGCTATTGAACAAATAGGACTAGATGTGATTGGGAACATCTTGGAGCCAAGTGTTCCGTCGCCTCAAGAACCAGGATGTACTATGTTTAAGTGTGAAGGGGCTGTACCCCAACAGTCGATGCCACAGTCATTAGTGCTTCGAGACCACATAATGGCACAGTGTGGACTAGATGTAGTAGGACCCCTTAGTGAAACACACAAAGGAAAACGTTTCATAGTTGTGCTTACAGACTGTGTAACAAAGTGGGTGGAAGCAACTGCGATATCAGAATTTACAACTGAATCAGTTGGGAGTTTCTTAGTTGAGGCTATATGCCGACACGGGTCAATAGAAGAGATAATGACAAAACACAATCCTGATTTCTGTGCACGTTTAAGTGAGAAGCTTTGTTCTATGATAGGCATTGCAATCAGAATGTCAACCATACTACCTTCTCAACCAAACGGGTATATAGAGCACTACTGGTATAATTCAGTCTTGTGCGGTGCCTTGATGAAATACAGTAATCAAAACCAGTATTATTGGGACACATCTTTAAATCAGGTGATTTTAGCTTATAGGACATTCCATCAAAAGGGCCTTTCAGGATCCCCTTTCCAACTACTGTATGACAGACCTCTTCGTCTTCCGGTGATGGGCATCTCTCAGCCTTCTGGTGATTCTTACTCTGATGAGCAGGAGGCCCTGACAGCCCACATTAACAACTACCTGAAGGCTTTATCTTGCTCTACTCATCAGCAACAACAGCCAGGAACACAACATCAGGACAGACTGACTCCGCCTTATGCACCATCAGGCAACATTGACTCTCCTTCGCCTTCATCCACACCAATCAACAATTCTTCCCAACACCAATCCAGTCACGTCTTAGGATCATTTGCTCAAACTGTTGTCACAAACAACCACATCAATTCAACACTTCCCATCACCACCTTCGGTTCAAACCTCCAACCTGCCTCCCACAACAATGTCTCTGTACATGCTATCCCTACTACAAGCATAACACCTCAGACAATACCTACAAATCTGAATGCTCACACCATGTCAACAAACACCGTCACCCCCCAAACCATTCAGTCCAATAGCTCGCATAATCTCACTACCAACAGCCACATAATTACAACTCCTTCAGTCACCCCAGTAGCCAGCCAAGTTATTACTCCACACATTTCAGTCACTCAACCAACAACCGTCCAAACTAATTCTAACATTACCACGAACACAAGTTCTGACAGTCATGCGGGACATATGGTCATGATACAGACTGACATGAAGACGTATGGAGATTCAATTTATCTAATCTGTTCTCAGTGATGATGCAGCACCTCAGGGACGAACAGGTTTCAGGTAGAATCAGACACATCATAAAACACATGCAAATGTAGACATAATTTCATAGTGTGTATTTTTGATGATTTATGTTTCTTAGGAACCTTTCATACTAACACCAAGAGCCAACAATGATTTCTTTTCTAATTATTTTTAAACTTCTTAGTAGAATTCCTAATGAGTTTGAAATGAATACCTACCTCCTCAAAAATGAAAAGTACTATACAATCCCAAGCTTCTCAGTGATCTTTAGCAGAAAGGTTTTAATTTCTTAGGAAAAAACTTTTAAATTTTTATTTGAAGGCCTACAAATTATTCTGAGAAATAGCTTTACTATATACTAAGGTCAGCAGCTTCTTGTCTTCAGACTATCCAATGACGGTAATGTATTTACCAAGCGTCACCAATAAAAATTATGCAAGATAGCATTGCTTATCATTTTCTTCCTTAGGTAGTGAATTAATTGAGAAAGAAAAAGATAGAAAATAAGCACAGAAAATGAGAAAAAAAATTGAAAAAAAGTAGAGTGAGGAAGCAGCGAGCAGTAAATGGCAGAAAAACAGACAGGAACAAATAAAGAACAGGAGTGAGCATGGACAAAAGAGGAAAAGGAGAAAAAGAGTGGAAAGAAAGAATGAAAAGTCACAAATTCTACAAAGGCACTGGCCACATCCCTCAATATCAATCTGCTGTCACTGAGAGGGCAAATATGTATATGCAACATCCACTGGTTTCAGTTCATACAGATGGCTCCACAAGAGCTTAGTCACTACGGAGTCAATGACATACCTTTCTTGTAGATTTTTGAAAATATTTGCTTTTTTTTTTTACAACTATTACTATTTTTAGGAACATAATATTAACAATAATGTAATGTAAATAATGGTAACAACTATAATAGTATATATAAATAATCAACCTGATGCCACCATGCCTACTTTGAGTGAAGTTTATTAACCTATTCACCCTGGATTTATGTTCTGTCCCCTGTAGTTTTTGGTGAATTTTGTTACATACAGATGGCTCCACATATGCTCAACCGGCATGGAGTCTATCAGTAGGCACTAGTTACCGATCCTGATTTTCCCATTCCTTGAATTGGCAGGAAAATGTGTTTTTCTTATTAATACCATTGCTATCAATACTGTTATTATTGTTATTGATGTTATGATTATTAAGTTGTCAATAAAATGTTTTAGACAATGAAATGATACAAAAGACCCTTTCCTAAAGTGAAGGAAAAGGGTAAACAGATGAGATAGGTAGTTCTGATAACAGGCTATTTGGTGATTGAGAACTTGTAGAGCCATCTATGTGTAAATACAACAAATAAACAGTGGACATGACATGTTTTCTTGCCACATGGGGTGAATAGGTTAATTATCTTTTGCATAAATGTCTCCACAAGTATTTAGTTACCAATGAACCAATAACTAGTGGTACCTATCTTACATGTTTACCCTTTCCCTTGATTTTGGGAATTACTGGTAGCATTTGTAATATAAATAAATAAATATTTAAGGAAAGATGAAATCAGGTGAGGATGAACCAATAACTAGTGGTACCTATCTTACATGTTTACCCTTTCCCTTGATTTTGGGAATTACTGGTAGCATTTGTAATATAAATAAATAAATATTTAAGGAAAGATGAAATCAGGTGAGGTAACAAGGTCTACTAATTGACTCTTTGGTGGCTGAGCACTTGTAGAGCCATCTATGTGTAGACATTTCACAAAATAATGCTACAGTGAACAAAATATTTTCCTGGCGGCACTGGTTTAAACCATAAAAGAAAGCTTTTCCATGGATGGGGTTGTCAGGTATGCTCAGAGAGGCCAACTAATTGACTCCTTGGTGCAAAGCCAACTAAAATCACAGTGAATATGGCATATACATATTTGTCCTGGCTTCACTTTGTTAAGAATCCTGCCAGAGAAAGAGAAAGCAAGGAATAGTCCTAGCCCAAAAGAATCACATCACAAAAACAACTCATGACATCCACACTGCATCTGTTGTATTGCCTACCTGGAAAAGGGGTCCCACATCGACATCAAAGCCTAAGTCTGCAAATCCTGTTGCAATGACCTTGGCCCCGCGGTCGTGTCCATCCTGACCCATCTTGGCAACGAGGATTCTGGGCCGACGACCTTCATTCTCAACAAATTCCTCAATCTGCCAGAGTGAGGAGAAAGAAGGAGGAATTGTGTGAAGAGCAGGATTGGGACAACATATATAGTATTTGCTTTAGTTTTTAATTTATATTTTTCATTTATGTCAAGAGTTTTGTGTAGTTGATCATGTCCCTCATTAGAGAACATTTAAAGTACGGGTAAACTCTTTTTAATTTTATTAACAGCTTAGTGTCCTGTGTACCTTATAGATAATATTGTCTTATATAACAGAATGTGAAAATTAACAAAAAAATACATTACACAAAAGAAAAGAAAAAGAAAACAACAACAAAGACACATTATTCTACATGTATTTGTGTTTCAGTGAATACCTTTTCAGTTACTGCTGCCAATTCCTGCTGCTCCCCATACTCTGTCTTATAAGCCCCCGAGACCAGTCGGTCAGAGGCAATGTGACGACCAAACACCTGTGAGATAAAGAGAGTAGAATTAGGATACAAAGTGCCTTGAATTCTCATCAAAATATTCCTTTTTTTTTTTGTACAAAGGATTCATAAGTGCTGTTTCCTATTCCCTTGATTTTTTTTATTGTTATAGTATCAACACTTTTAGTATTATTATTATCACTGATCTTATGATTATTATAATATTATTTTAAAAAATAATTGCAATGAAAAAATATTATTTTAAAAATAATTGCAATGAAAAAAAAAAAAAAAAAAAAAAAAAATCCTTGCAAACATCAAGGAAATGGGTAAATGGATGAGACTAATGACTAATAATTGATTCCTTTATGACCAAGTCATGGTGAAGCACAAAGGGTTAATCACCCTAAAACTCTGCCTATTAATATTTACCTTCTCCATGGCTTGAGATATTTCACCAAGGGTGGCCCTGACCCTTGCTGCTGCAACTGCTGCTTCCAGGAGGTTTCCACTGCCACGTGCAGCTTCCTCTAAGGCATTCAGAGCTGCTTCTGTTTCTTGAGGGTCACGCTTTTCTCTGAGCTGGTTAGAATTAGGGATTTGGAGGTCAGAGATTAATCAATCAATAAATGAATCAATAAATGTTGTATTATCATAATGTTATATGACAGGTACTGCATATAATAATATAAATTAAGTTACAAGACTTTATGGCTTTTTACACACCTCTTTCAACTTGTTAATTTGCTTTGTGCGAACTTCATTGTTATCAATCATCAGGACATCAATTGTTTCTTCTTTATCGAGACGATACTTATTGACTCCCACAATTACCTCTGTGGGGGGAAAATGGGGAATTATTAGTATGTATACACATACAACTCTTAATTCTGTACTACAATTATAAGAAATTACCATCACTTGAATAATTTCTATAAGAATCCAGCCTAAAATCAAGATCATTGTAAACTTAGAATATTCTCAAATACCACTTCTATCATGCCACACTGCATGCTAACTAAAAAAAAATAGTTAACCAATATAATCCAAAATTCTGCTGTCAGAAAGCATTTATTGATACCACTAAATATCATACACAAAATTATTTTGAACTCATTTTCGGGGATGCCATATATCTTTACTATGCAGTTTCCAGGTTAACCCATTGCCAATGGACATGCCATGCCATGCCCACTGTGAGTTTACTTGTTTGATTGTTTTTACACATAGATGGCTACACTTGTACTAAAACACCAATGAGCCAGATACGAGTACTGCCTGTCTCGCCTTTTCTTTAATTTTCAAAAATATTTTCATTATCTTATTTTGCTATTACTAATGTTTATAACATTATAGTAATTATAATGTTTATAATAAAAATAACACCATCGATATGCATAGCTCTAGTAAAAAATACATTTTCCCGCTAATTCAAGGAAAGGTGAAATCAGGTACGGCAGAGCCATCTATGTGTAGAGACATTTCACAAAAAAATATAAAAAATGAGAACAGCATTTTCCCCATTTTTTATTCCTTTTTCCCGTCAGCAAGGGGATTAAAATAGTGATCAGTTACCTCAATGGTTGTCCTCCTAATGATCTGAATTATGCCACTCAACATACCTTTTCCACTGTCAATCATAGCCTGTCGCTTAGCAGCACATTCCTCGATCTTCAGTTTAGCCCAACCTTGAAATAAGAGCAGAGAGAAAATTATAATCATATGTTATAATTTTTTTTCCGACCAAAAATAATATACTACAAGTTGATAAAAGAAGTTTATAGAAGAGAAAGGAAGGAATAGGAAGGGGAGCAGAGAATGAGAAGGAGAAGAAGGGGGAGGGAGGGAGGTAGTGAGAGAAGAGGGAAGAGCGAGAGAGAGAGAGTGAGGAAGAGGGATAGAGAGTGAGGGAGAAGGATAGAGAGTGAGGGAGAGGGATAGAGAGTGAGAGGGATAGAGAGAGAGAGAGGGATAGAGAGTGAGAGGATAGAGAGAGAGAGAGAGGGATATATATATATATATATATATATATATATATATATATATATATAGAGAGAGAGAGAGAGAGAGAGAGAGAGAGAGAGAGAGAGAGAGAGAGAGAGAGAGAGAGAGAGAGGAAGAAAGAGACAGAGAGAGAGTATATCAGTCAAACAATTTACCTGAAGCAACAGCCTTGGCCATGCCACCCATCGACTCAACCTCATCAATAATCTCCTTAGCTGCATCATAAACCTCATTGGTAAGTGCTTCCATAGCATATGATCCAGCCCATGGATCAATTATCTGAAAAAAAGGAATAATATCCTCTGATGATACTGCAGGAATTATAAAGTACTGTTAAATAAGAGAAAAGATAAGAAAGGAAAAAACAATTCATTCCCTCATTAAATTCTACAGCCCTATTATACATATTCATATCTTCCATTATAGTATTAGAGGAAAAAAAAAAAAAAACATTAACTATAGGCATATATAAAATTTCCTTTCAGTCAAAAACTAAAACACCAAGAAAAGGAATCAAAGCAACTGACCTTCGGAATACCAGTTTCTTCCTGGAGGATGATTTGGGTGTTACGAGCAATGCGGGCAGAGAAGACTGTAGGGAGACCCAGAGCCTCATCAAAGGAGTTTGTGTGGAGAGATTGCGTTCCCCCGAAGACTGCTGCCATGGCCTCGATAGTTGTGCGGATGATGTTGTTGTAAGGGTCCTGTTATTGTGACAAGTAGAAAGTAAGAAAGTGGTAGATATGTTTCTATAAAGTGAGCAAATAGGTACATATGTATTTTTATATGTTAATCATAAAAATATGTAAATAAGTAAACCTGTATATGCATCAAATGGATACATGTAGAGTAAGTAAATTGT